GGTACGAAATGCTGTATGTGGCCTCGAAGGAGTAGAAAGGGGGAGACAGGTGCTCATGGAGCCAAAGCCAGCTCCTGGCAATAACTAGGTGGCCGCCGGACTCAGCAGGGGTTCTGCAGGCCAGCAGCAAACGCCAGGGCTCTCTTGACTGTGTAGCACCAACAGCCGCGGCTGCAGGGAGGATGCTGCCTGGCTCCCCTCCCCGCCCGAGGCCCCCACCCGCCAAGCCCTTGCGGCTGGTCTCCACTCCACTGGCTGCCACTATCCTCAGTGAGCCAGAGGGCCTCTCCTCCCGCTGCAGGGAGCCCAGCTGGCACGATCAAGGCCCCCCCCCACCCCACCCGGGTGCGTTCCATGTGTGTCTACTGCTCACACTTCTGGAGTCACACAAGCCTTTCCCCAGAATCCCTGTTTGTTGGGTTCTGAGCACACAGCAGGTTTGGGGGCTCACGGTGGCAATTAAGGAAGCACTTTGTGTCCTAGGAAGTGTGTGTCTGTACCTGCTCATCTGCTCCCTCCTGGGATACTTACCTAGTGTCCAGGGTTAGGAGCATCCTTGGTGAGTTTTGTGGCAGAAATGAGCTCACATGCTTAGTAGCGGCGCCTGTACCATGAGGTGCTATGTCAAGTGTGAGATACTTTGCTCACTTTGCTCTCCAGGGAGCTGAGGTTCAGAGAGGTTGGGTGATTTGCCCAAGGGCTTACGGCATGAAATGCAGAAATGAGACTCAAACCCAAGCCCCCACGGCTGGAGTCTTCGTTTTTTCTCCAAGTGATGTCTGCAGGGCATGTCTTGCCTGGCCAAGTCCTAAGCTCCTTGGCAGGGATATATCTTAGGGAAATCTGAGGGCAGGACCCAGGTCTGGCACTCACCTCAAGAGCTGGTGTGGCTTCTGCCAGAACCCAGGTGGCTCTGCTTTCTGTCTCTCTGCCTCACCCCTCTGGTCACTTCACTGCCCTCCCAGGCCCCCAGTACCACATGCTGCCAGGGCATTTCCTGTGGCAGGGGAGACGGCTTCCTGCTACAGTGCTGTGAGAGTGTTGGGTTGGTTGGTCCAGAGCAATGCTGACGGGGCGTCAGTAGAGGCAGTGCATTTTAAGTGAGCACCCCCTGGGGTATCTGGACGAATACGGGGGAGAAGAAGGGTGTCTGTGGCAGGAGCTCCCTTTTGGACTCCCTGACCCATGGCAAACCGCTTTCCTAAAGGCGGGCAGCAGTGTCGAGCTGGCGGGTAAGGCTGGGCAGTATGGGGGCACCATAACCCTCTTTCTGCCCTGTCTCCCCAGATCATTCTGAACTTCACGTCCATGGACCTGTACCGCAGCCGCCTGTGCTGGTACGACTATGTAGAGGTCCGAGACGGCTTCTGGAGGAAGGCGCCCCTCCGAGGTAATGACCCGGCCCCACTGCCTCCCCTCGGCTGACTCCTTAGAGCTGCCCATATCACATTTTTGTCTTTTAAAGATTTATTTATTTGTGCATACAGAACTGGGGTACAGGCCAGAGGT